CTCTTCTGAAGGCCTTGGTTGAATCTATCTCCATCATGCTCTTGAGTAAAGTGTTCCAGATCCTAACCAAGTGCAATACGAAAATGTTTTTTCTTGTGTCATTGGTGGTTCTTTTGCCAGTCACTTTAAATCAGTGCCTTTTTGTTTTTGGCCCTTCTCCCAGTGGAAATTGCTTTACCTTAACATGTAGCCGGGCACCCCACGATTTTGAAAACCTTAATCAAATCTTTTTTTAATCTTTTCTTCTCTAAGGGACAGCCAATTAATCCACACAACTGAAACCCCTCACCGCTGAAATTGTGCTTGTGAATCTGTTCTGCACTTCACAGCTTTCCTCAAGTTTGCCTAGAATTGGATAGAATATTCTAGGTTTTTAAATTCATTTTACAGGATGTGGGCATCGCTGACTAAGCCAGCATTTATTGCCTATTTCTAATTGACAGTGGTTTCATGGGTATCATCAGACTCTTAATTGAAGATATTTTTAAAAAATTGTCGAACCAGGTCCCCAAAATATTACCTAGGTTTCTGGATTAATAATCTAGCAATAATACCCTGAGGCCATCACTTCCCCTCCCCTACTACCACCGGCTGAACCAGGGATCCATACAGATCTATTGTAGTGTCCTTCTCAATGTACTCTATACCGCTTTTTATCAAGCCATATATTGACAATATGGCCAAGGATTACAGGCTACTATGAATTCCTAAATGTCCCTTCAAATCAGCAGCTCCCCCCAGCTCTGGATCCTGGTTTTACAGGTGATGATTTATAATTCTGTTCACATCCAGCATAACTGACAAAAAATGTACAAGAATATAGAGTCATACAGCTTGGAAGCAGACCCTTCATTCCAATCAGTCCATGCTGATCACAGTTCCAAACTAAAGTAGTCCAACCTGCCCGCAGTTGGCCGATATCCCTCCAAATGTTTCTATTTATGTACTTTTCTAAACGTCTTTTAAATGTTGTAACTGTACCCACATCCACTACTTCCTCCGGAAGTTCATTCCACACACGAACCATTTTCTGTGTAAAAAAAGAAACCTCACATGTCTTTTTTAAATCTTTAAGTATGGTTTGTCCAGTTGAGTGTCTGCTCAGTGGTAACCCCAGGATGTTGATGGTGGAGAATCCAGTGATAGTAACACCATTGAATGTCAAAAGGGAGATTATTTGATAATGTCTTGTTAGGGATAATTATTGTCCGGTATTTGTGTGGTACGAATGTTACTTGCCACTTATCTGTTCACCCCCACTGAATTAATAAAATTAATTAATTCCAGATGAACGAACATAGCATGATATAATTTCACATTCATTTTGAGAATGGGAAAGTGGGACTGCAACTAGTGGCTTAAATAAAAGCAATTACCAAAGTATGGAGACAGAATTCACTAAGTGGGTAAGGTCCTTAATGAATACTTTGCATTGGTATTTACTGAGAAGGAGGACATGGTGAATAGTGAATCTCGAGAGGCTATGTTCATATTCTAGGGCATGTCAGTATAAAAAAGGTGTTGAGTTTTGAAAAGCATTAATGTAGGCAAGTCTCCAGGACCTGATGGGATCTATCACTGAATGCTGAGGTAGGAAGTTGAGGAAATTGCTGGGGCTTGTATGAAATCTTTGTGTCCTCTTAATTCACAGAAGAGGTCCAAGAGTACTGAAGAATAGCCAATGTTGTTCTTTCGTTTAAGAAGAGAAACAGATATTCCTTGAAATTACAGGCCGGCAAGCCTTATGTCAGGTAGGGAAATTATTGGAGAAGATTCGTATGGATAGGATTTACTCGCATTTGGAAAAATTTGAATTTATTAGTGATGGACAGCATGGCTTTGAGGAAGTAACAAAGATGAGGACAGGGTGGCAGATGTTATCTGTTTAAAAATAATGTGTTTTCTATTCAAAATGGACTTGAAGAGGAATTTTGTCCCTTAGAGGTTCCTAAATCTTTAGCAAGGATTAAAAGCACATTTAAAGATTGGCCCATGAATCCATTTAAGTTTGACAGCTTCCTATTTTACTAAGGAGTCGAGGATTATAGATGGCTGGCAGTAAAGTGGAGTTGAGAATCTTTCAGCTCAGTCATGATCTTATTACATGGCAGTGCAGGCTTGAGAATTCAAATGGCTTCTCATGCTCTGATTTCTTTTGTTTACCAAGGAGAAAAGATACTCATGTAGAGTTAACAGATTTACTTGCATGTCTGTTTACATCCTGTAATGTTTTAAAGTTTTGCTTTCTCATAATAGTCTGTTTAGCGTGTGTAGAAAGTGGCAACAGATCTAAACTGTTCACAGTTTAACTCTTCAACTCTGACTCTGTGTAATGTCTTAGGCAAGACTTTTGAAAGCGTGTTCATATAAAGAAGCCATAAAGTTAAACAAGATATGCAAAATGCCACAATAACCTTCACTTGATTAGTATTTTAGAAGTGTTTAAAGCTAAAGTTTTGCTACATGTTTTGCCTAAGTGACGACTGAGTCATCTTGAGGCATTGCTTTCAGTTTTAAATTGGTGTCTGTGAAAAAAATTTTTGTATCCAATGCCAAAGTAGTTTCTCAAGTACTGAGATAGTTCAATTTATCTTCTTTTAATGTTTATAGTCAACGTAAAGGAATACTTCACTTCTCCATAATTTATATAAATAATGCTCTTTAAGCATTGATTTTTATATTTGTTGTAAATTTATATTTGGTATTGTCATGAATATTTTCTAAAGAAAGTGAATCTGCTTTTCAAATGGACAGAAGACATCTTACAAAATGGCTCCCTGAAGTCTCATGTCTTCCCTTGCAGATTCAACTGCAATTAGAACCAGGTTGTTTAAAAATAATTTAAAAATTAAAGAATATTTCCAAGGATAAACAAAAGCTTGTTGATAATGGTTTCCCTGAAGATGTGAACAGTTCTTCCTATCTCACCAGAAACCTGAAAGAATCAGAGTCATTTAAAACAAAAACTTAATTACCTCTGCTACAAGACAATGGGTGGTTATACACTCCAGATCTGGACTAACCCAGTACCTAATATGGAAGCATGGCATTGCAGCCATTTTTAAGATTTGAATTGTGAAATGTCTGGCCAATAACCATTTTCTGCAAGGAGCTCAGGTAATCCTGTGAATACAGCTACAGCCATTTCTCTCAGCTGACCTATGGACTGTATGTTAGAATTAGATTTTCTTTTTGATACCAGCAGTTACAAAGGAAGGTGCCCAGACCACCTCTTTACTCTGCTGAAAAGGAATCCAGACAGTTTTCAACTTGAGTGCTAGCAGAAGCCGTAAGAAAAGGGGCCTTTCACTTATTCCCTGAAGCTACTCTATCTTGTCATGACCACAACTGAAGATGTAAATTCAGTGGCTGCCTGGATAGAGACAGAGTTAGAATATCATACATGACATGGCGTCAACAAAGCTTCAAAAGAAAAAAACTACAAACTGAATTTGTAATCTCCTGGAATTATGTCAGACTGTGAACCTGAAGGTTATAAAAACAACAGCAGTCTGGGTGAGAGACACATTTGTGATTTTCCTCCTTTCAAAAATTCACAGGGACAGGGTTAAAAGTGATCTTTAACTCTGAACCGCGTGTGTGTTAATGGCCTGATGTTCTGATGTTCTAGTGTGCTATGCAGGTCACAACTCTGAAAACAGCTATCTGCACCACAGATAAAGAAAACCCCTTTCTCATTCTGAATTAGCCAAATCAACCACTGCCAAAAAAAATCAGATTAAAACATTTCAATCAACTTACAAAGCCAAGAATCTTGAAATTGACTGTTCAATTACCAACATGAGTGCTACAGACATATCATTCAACTATCCCTTCTTCACGACTAATTCAGAGACTGATCCCGAAGTCATTTTTTACTTTTGTACTCTCTTATTTTTATTCTGTTTGCATGTGCATTACTATTTCTTCTTGCATTTATTTTTATTCATTCACGGGATGAGGGCATCTCTGGCTAGGCCAGTATTTATTTTTCATCCCTAATTGCCCAGAGAGCTGTTAAGAGTCAACCACATTGCTGTGGCTCTGGAATCATGTGTAGGCCAGACGAGGTAAGGATGGCAGATTTCCTTCCCTAAAGGACGTTAGTCAATCAAATGGGATTTTCTGACAATTGACAATGGATTCACGACTATCATTAGATTCCTAATTCTAGATATTTATTGAATTCAAATTCCACCATCTGCTGTGGTGGGATTCAAACCCACGTCCCCAGTACATTACCTGGGTTTCTGGATTAACAGTCCAGCAATGATACCACTAGGCCATTGTCTTCCCTAATTTAGTGATTAATAAACTCCCTCCTGTTAATTCAAGAAAACAGTTAATCTGGGTCTAGGAGAAAGATGTCCACAAGGGAAATTTTAAAATTAACCTAGTCCTGACTACCCTAAGAGGGTTTATGTCTACCAGTTCTTCCCGCCTCATCCTAGAGCCTACCAGTTTGAGATCTCCCATCTGGAACCTCACCTGAGGACTGGTCATAACACCTCCTAAGTCCACAACAAGAAAACTTTGATTATTCAAAGACAGAACCAACCACAGCTGCTGAATTTGACTCCATGTTTCCATGAGTCTACTTCAGAAAGAGAATTTTCAATCAAACCAGGCTTGCAATAATAGTAGACACTGATCACACTTTCATCTTTATACATATCTATTATTCTTTTTGAACTTAAATCTTTTTATCTATATTTTAGCCAATAATTTTATCAGCTCTTACTGCATAATTTCCAACAATTGTTGTGTAATAAAGTAACATTGTATCTTGTTTGAGCATAATATTATGCTGCTGTTTCTGTTTAAACTGAAATAATCTAATTAAAAGAAACTACAAAGAGCTTATACACACTCTTAGATCAGTTACCACTCTGAGGACATGCCTGGTATGTGGTTGTGACAGTATATACTGTATAAATAATTTAAGCTCACAAATTTAAAAAGGAAGAGTTAACTTGTCTTATTTATTTATGTGCTTTCAGCTTACACAAATCATTATCTCAAGAGGTTAGTGTCACCGACAAGTTCAACACCGCGCTAGGCACTTATGATGATGCTTTATGCACTAGCAAGGGCATGATGTCAGCCACGCACCACCAAAATGAAGATCTAGCAAACCAGTTACAACTGGCTATAGCAGAACAGGCAAACATGAAGATTAAACTGCAGCAAGCCTTGGAAGCCAAAATCCAACTGAGTGAAAAAGTTCAGAAGTAAGTATGTAATTTGAAAATCTTTTAATAAAGGAAGATATGCATTCATCCTAAATTCTTATGATTTACTGTTGATTACATTCGAAACAAGTTCTAAAACTACAGAAATTCTGAATTTTGTTTATTGCACGTTTTCTGAAGAATCTATTGATACTAAAAGCAACATAATGCTTCCAGTATAAAGCCTGGCTGAGTCGACAGCACTCTTGTCCTTAAATCAGAAGTTTTACGTTTAGGCTTTGCTTGGATTTGAGAAAATTACCTAAGCTTATACTACAATATACTGCTAAGAGCTTGCTGCATTATCAGGTATTCAGTGAATGGAAAATACTTTAGGACATGTTGTGCGTTTTTTTTAACGTAACAGGCTTTCTGTTCAGTTATACACAAAGGAAATGAACCTTTCATTTCTTAATAATTTATATGCCCAATGCTTTTAAAGCAGATTCGTTTTATTTACTTGTCATATTGTTATTACAAAATAATTTAAGTTCAATTTTTTTAAAAAACCTGAGAAAGTGAATGGATGAAACAATGTAAATACTTTTTCTATGTAATCACCTAGATCTGATGCTTGATTAGGGTCCTAACTGCAAGCTCTAGTAGTTTAAGTAGATTTAGGAATGGTGTTACTTAAAACGTAAGTAGACCTTACAGATCACTCACCAACATTCAAGTCAATACGTGCCTCAAATCCAAACTAATTAGTATCCACCTTATTGATGTTTTGACCTTATTGAGGTCTTGATGTGTTACATTGGCTGACCAACTTCAAATTTACTCAGCATATATAAAACACTCTGACATATTTTAACAAAATTTCCTAAGTCACTATTTGCACCACATAATTTATTCCTCTTATCTACATTTTTTCTTGGCAATTGGAAATTTTATTTGTTTTCGATTTGAAAAAAAGGTCTGGAAATGTTCAATGTCACTTTTGCACTGTTCAAAAAATAGTATAAAATTAATCGGAGAAAATTGTATTTTCAACATATTGTAAATTTAACAGTCTCTCAGTCTCAGAATAAAACGTTTATAAATTTGTGGGGGACAAAATTACCTCAATGCAAATACATGAAAGTCCAGAACTGGTTTGTAATTTCTGGAAACTTTAGGACTTAGAAATGGTTATTTTGAAAGTTAATTCTGGGATTAGACTTATTTCTGCTCATAACAACAGCACTATAATTTCCATAAGGCTTCCAGTACCAAGTACACACAGTGATACTGCTGGGAGGTGGTTAAAGTACTTGCGAGTGTTGAGAAACAACACTTGGAGTGCCGAACATTTGATTTCCCATTGAACTAAGGGTAGTTAATGATGTACAAAGAGTTGTATCTGTTTCCAGCCTGCAGCCTGAAGAAACTTTGATGGTTCAAAAAGAAATTTAAAGTAGTTCTTCCTTTGCCTTATCCTTGGATTGAGCTGGTTTGTCACTTGGAACTGAGGGGCACTAAGCTAGTGCCTGTCTTGAATTTAAGAAAAAAACATTCTGTTTTCAATTTTAAAATGGAGGAGGAGAAGCAATAAAAATGAATGAATGGAGTGAGTAGCAGCACGTATTAGAGGAGTTGCTATATAGTATATTGTACACCAGTAAGGAAATTACAGGCCGCACAGATCCTGTGAACGTCTCCGTGAAGACTTCTGGATCAGAGGAGAATGCTTGACCATAGATATAGTTGGTACGTAAAGACCACCAACCAAAATCGACTACAGTCGGCTTTGTCTGTTGCTATGAATATAACAACTTCCATATATAATAATCAATGGTTGTGAGGATCATCCAAGATACCCTTTCAGAGAGCCTTGGTTAAATAATCATCACCCGTTTTGAGCTGGTACGTGTTACTGTGTTGACGTGATGGTGTCAACTTTTTTTTTATTCATTCATGGACTGAGGGCGTTGCTGGCGAGGCAGCATTTATTGCCCATCCCTAATTGCCCAGAGGGCAGTTCAGGGTCAACCACATTGCTGTGGGTCTGGAGTTACGTGGGGTCCCCAGAATGTTATCCCATGTACAACGTGTACTAGATGGCATGCACATAGTATTTAGTGCTCATACTTTTGATCCATCTCATTCTTGATAGGGAGTATACCATTTACTCAATATTCAGCTCCAATGAAGCTCTACAAGGCAGGTGGTCACAACAGAAGTAAGAATGGATATCTTGTGATGATGAGGCTTACCACTCATGTTGTCATGACCACTCAAACAGTTTCTTCCTGTCTTCTCTATCTGGACCTCTCATGATTTAAAACACCTCTTTCAAGTTTCCTCTCAATCTTCTTGAATGAGAACAATCCTAGCTTCTTCAACTTATTCATATGATTGATGTCTGTCACCCCGGTGTAGTCCACATAAACCTTTTGTGCACCCTCCACATCCTACTAAATTACAGTGCCCAGAATTGTAAACAGTACTCCAATTAAGACTGAATCAATATTTAATAACAGTATTAGGGCACAATTACATGATACCAAAGCTGACAGATTTTAAAAAGATAGAAAAGCCCTAATCTTTTCATTTTTGAATTTAAAAATGGTGGATGACCAGGACGGCAGTTTTTTCATAATAAAAGGATTCAACACGTTAGATATAGAGAATATTTTTCCACTTGTGAATGAAATCAGAGCTAGAGGTCGTAAATATAAGGTAGTCAGTAAAAATGTAATAGGAAATTCAAGAGCAACTTTTTTACTCCAAATGAGTGTAGAGATAGGAACTCCTGTACAGTAAGCAGTTGAGGCAAATAATATAGATGGACTCAGTCAAAAGCTAGATTTGTGTGAGAGAGAACAGATCGGACGGATTTGTTGATAGGATTAAATAGTGAGGAGCAAGAGGAGCCTTGAATGGTGCAAAAACGACAGCTTGGACCTGTTATACAAAGTGGCCTATTCTGTATTGGAAATACTTTGTAATGCTTTGTAACACTAGAAATATTGAGCCACTGCAGCCATTTAATTAGTCAGTAATCTAAACTGCATTCATCCACCTTTGATCCATGTTCCTTGGTACTAGTTTTCCTTTTAAAATTTAGCTTTTATGCACAACCTTTTCGGTATGCTTTTTCTTTAAATCTTTTTCTGTAACCAAATAAATATGTTATTTGTATCAGAACAAGGTGTATGCAGTACCTTTCATGCTGTTTTACAGTCATGCAAATGTACAGCTTAGTTCGGAAATTGTTTGGTAACCTTAGCTAGTTAAAATTAATCATCTCTCGTGCACTTCAATTAGCGCAGTTCTTCAGTGGATGAAATCCAGTTTGCCACTATTGTTTGTATAACAGAATTTCCTGATCTCACTTCTCAATGGTCTGGCCCTAATTTCAAGTTTGTATCGTATAGTACTGCGTTCCCCATCAAAGGAAACCATTTTTCGATCAAATGCCTTTAACTTTTCAACATTTCAGTTTCATCACACCTCAATCTTCTAAACTCATGGAATTTCATACAAATTTATACACTTGTTCTATCAAAATAATGTTTTAAGCCCAGGCAACATTCAAACGGCAGAGGAATCATTTCATATTGGCCTGTGTATTTTTCTAGAATTTCTTTTCTAACAGTTCACAGCAGATACAAGATTTAGATCAGTGCTAGCTATTTTGGCTAGTTGTATGAAATCCCTGACTCTTGCTAAGTTTCCAGTCTTGGATGACAAGCATTATACAAAGTTTTGGAAGACTTTGGATTGGAGCTACTCTTGAGTGTTCATATTATCACTTATCAATCAATGAATATATCAAGCTATTCTATTCAGTTCAACTATTCTATGTAATCAGCTACTTAATATAGTTGAGAGAAATAGAGTTACAGATGTCATTTTCAGTGTTTTTTCAAAGGATTTTGAATGATACATCAGGCTGTCTTTCCTCACTCTGAAGCATTTGTGAGTATGAAGTTATTCAGAGATTTTGGATTTGGCCAGATAACAAGTGACTGACCATGTTTCAAGGATTGCATTTATGTTGAGCTTTAGTGCAGATGTTTGTTGATGTGACATTTCAAAGCAAATACAAATTTCAGTAACTGTAAATATAAGAAACAAAAGTTTAAGTTGACCTGAGCAGACAATATCTTAATTTAATATCTCATTTGTAATGTAGTATCCCTAACAATGCAATACTCCCTTAATACTATAGTAAACCATTGGCCTAAGTTATGTTCTCAAATTATAAAATAGGGCTTGGACTTACAAACTTTTAATTTTTGGCTCAATTGGCTCTCATCAGCATTTTGTTTTTGGAGACTAATTCGGATGCAAGTTTTTAGACATGAATTTGAATGATGATCTCTAATTAATTGTACTCCTTTTATCACCTCAAAATAATTGATGATTAAACAACTATATTTATGTAGTGCCTTTAAAATAACCCAAGGGGCTTCACAAAAGTATGTTAAAGCAAAATATGACTCCAAGCCCTATAAAGTGTCAATAGATTACCTAAATTTGGTTACGGAGAGGTTTTAAAGGGTGTCTTAAGGAAAGAAAGGTATTTAGAGAGGTTGATGTTTAGGGATGGAATTCCAAAGTTTTCACACCTAGGCAACTGTATAAACACAAATAAAAACCAAAAGAACTGCGGATGCTGTAAATCAGGAACAAAAACAAAGTTGCTGGAAAATATGCTGCCAGACCTGCTGAGCTTTTCCAGCAACTTTGTTTTTGTGCATAAACACAAATGTGGAGCAGTTATAATCATGAATGCTTAAGAGGCTAGAACTCACAAGAAATTTCTGATCCATATTGCATGGCAATTCAATTTGTCAATTCCATGTCCCCTTAATTTACTAAGTGTCCTAGCATGAGTTCAAAATCCTGTGGAATGTTGTTTATACCATAAAAGTTGAATAGCAAATTAGTATTATCCCCTCTAGCAAAAATTCTGTGAAATATTCTTTTCATGTTTCAAGTGCTTTATCTCATTTAACTTCACTTACTTTTTTTAATTTGTCATAATTCTGGCTTCCTGTTAAGGTCAAAAT